CCGGTTGATAAAGAAAGTGATTTATTTAAATACTAAATAAAATTTTTGTGGAAGAGCTCAACCTGTGAAGGGTCTTGTAGTTCATGGAGAAAGGGAGGGCAATTAGTTTTCACCCAAGGAAGGGAAGATCAAGCAATTAGTTTGATTCAAGGGAGGAAAGAGCAAATCCAATATCTTGCATCAAGAGCCCCACCAGCATCAGGAAACCTCTCTTGAAGGTTTGAAGCTATACGAAAGATGGGGTTTATGAGGTTTCCCCTCAAGGGGAAGTGTCTAGTTGCTAGTAAAATGTGTCGAGTTGGGAAACTGGAGCTACCCCATTCCTTGGATCAAACCTGATTACCTCTTGGTCCCCTGTCCTTGGACGACCTCTCATGGACTTAGCCATAATTACATGAGATTAGCTTGTAACCAGCAATGTGTATTGTTAGCATGAGTTCTGAAGATTAAAATGTAGCAGTGGAGGTTTTAGTACTGTAGTTAAAACTATGTTGGTGTTAGGACTGGATGTTTGAGTTAGGATTGTGTATTGAAGTGAATTAGGGTTTTGTGTTGTGGTTTGAACTTTGTTTCCCCTCAGGGAAGGTTCTTTGATGTTGGTGAGGGGCTCTTGATTTAGGGAATTGGATCTGTGCTCCAGTTCCCCGAATTAAGCCTGAATGCCTTCCACATCCCCCCCAGGCGCTGTATAATCCTACGGGTTTAGCACTTCCCCCTTAATAATAATTGAACTTTGTTTGGACTTTGGATGTGTTGTAGTATGTTTGGACTTTGGATGTGTATTGTAGTTTGGCCTTTGGGTGTGTGTTGTAGTTTGGACCAGGGGCGTGGTAAGGGGGGGGGCGGCCGTCCCGGTGACACCATATTAGGGGGTGACACTAATGCCCAAAACAGTGCTGCACCAACATAAAAGAAGAATCCTTCGTTTCTACATAGCCTATTATGCATTAACAAAGTAGTATAAATAAGCCTATATAGGGAAAATCATTGATTTTGATGATGTGATTGATGATTTTGCAGGACTGACCCCTCAAGGAAGGTTCCTTGATGTTGGTGAGGGGCTCTTGATTTAGGGAATTGGATCTGTGTTCCAGTTCCCCGAATTAAGCCTGAATGCCTTCCACATCCCCCCCCAGGCGCTGTATAATCCTCCGGGTTTAGCGCTTCCCCTTGATTATTATAATAATAATAATTTGCAGGACTGAAGGCAAGGAAATGCCTAGCCATGCTAGGCGTTCTAGTGGTACACTCTGTAATTATTATTTTACTACATGTAAACCACACAATAACCAAATTCTGTAAACTCAGCATTGTAATACTTATAGAGAATAAAGTTTGAATTTGAATTTTGAACTGAGATGTTACCAGTACTCAAGGTCAAGTCGGAACCCGTGTTTCTCTGATATGGGAATGTTTTTCTTTATTTTTCAAGTTTTCTTTTTTGTTTTGTTTTTTCCTTTTGTTGAAGATGAATAAATGTAGGATCTGTTGCCTGTACTCAAAGTGGTATTTGAGTTTGTTTCCTCAATATTACTACGCTTATTTATTTTATCAATAATAAAGTTGAGAAGTATTCTCCTGTTTAGTTTAAGGCCCTTAAACGTTCTCATTGCTAAATATATGTCCCTGGTGATGCAGTAGTGACATAACTGGAGTTTACTCCCCCCATCCCCCCGCCCTTGAATTTCATGGGTGTGACACCAAAGATGCTGCCCCGGGTGACACCAACTCTAGCGACGCCGCTGGTTTGGACTTCCGGTGTGTTGAAATTTGTTTGGACTTTGTGTGCGTGTTTGTCTGTTTGGATTTGGGTGCGTGTTGAAATCTGTTTGGGTGCGTGTTGAAGTTTTGACTTTGGGTGCGTGTTGAAGTTTGGACTTTGGGTGCGTGTTGAAGTTTGGACTTTCGGTGCGTGTTGAAGTTTTGACTTAGGTGCATGTTGAAGTTTGGACTTTGGGTGCATGTTAAAGTTTGGACTTTGGGTGCATGTTAAAGTTTGGACTTTGGGTGCATGTTGAAGTTTGGATTTTGGGTGTGTGTTGAAGTTTGGACTTTGGGTGCCTGTTGAAGTTTGGATTTTGGGTGCCTGTTGAAGTTTGGACTTTGGGTGCACGTTGAAGTTTGTTTGGACTTTGGGTGCGTGTTAAAGTTTGGACTTTGGGTGCATGTTGAAGTTTGGACTTTGGGTGCATGTTGAAGTTTGGACTTTGGGTGCGTGTTGAAGTTTGGACTTTGGGTGCATGTTGAAGTTTGGACTTTGGGTGCACGTTGAAGTTTGTTTGGACTTTGGCTGCGTGTTGAAGTCTGTTTGGACTTTGGGTGCATGTTTGTCTGTTTGGACTTTGGCTGCGTGTTGAAATCTGTTTGGGTGCGTGTTGAAGTTTGGACTTTGGGTGTGTGTTAAAGAGTGGACTTTGGGTGCGTGTTGAAGTTTGGACTTTGGGTGTGTGTTGAAGTTTGGACTTTGGGTGTGTGTTAAAGTTTGGACTTTGGGTGCGTGTTGAAGTTTGGACTTTGGGTGTGTGTTGAAGTTTGGACTTTGGGTGCGTGTTAAAGTTTGGACTTTGGGTGCGTGTTAAAGTTTGGACTTTGGGTGCATGTTAAAGTTTGGACTTTGGGTGCGTGTTAAAGTTTGGACTTTGGGTGCGTGTTAAAGTTTGGACTTTGGGTGCGTGTTAAAGTTTGGACTTTGGGTGCATGTTGAAGTTTGGACTTTGGGTGCATGCTGAAGTTTGGACTTTGGGTGCACATTGAAGTTTGTTTGGACTTTGGGTGTGTTGAAGTCTGTTTGGACTTTGGGTGCATGTTTGTCTGTTTGGACTTTGGGTGCGTGTTGAAATCTGTTTGGGTGCGTGTTGAAGTTTGGACTTTGGGTGCGTGTTGAAATTGTTTGGGTGCATGTTGAAGTTTGGACTTTGGGTGCGTGTTGAAGTTTGGACTTTGGGTGCGTGTTGAAGTTTGGACTTTGGGTGCGTGTTGAGGTTTGGACTTTGGGTGCGTGTTGAAATCTGTTTGGGTGCGTGTTGAAGTTTGGACTTTGGGTGCATGTTGAAGTTTGGACTTTGGGTGTGTGTTGAAGTTTGGACTTTGGGTGCATGTTAAAGTTTGGACTTTGGGTGCATGTTAAAGTTTGGACTTTGGGTGCATGTTGAAGTTTGGACTTTGGGTGTGTGTTGAAGTTTGCACTTTGGGTGCATGTTAAAGTTTGGACTTTGGGTGCATGTTAAAGTTTGGACTTTGGGTGCATGTTAAAGTTTGGACTTTGGGTGTGTATTGAAGTTTGGACTTTGGGTGTGTGTTGAAGTTTGGACTTTGGGTGCACATTGAAGTTTGGACTTTGGGTGCATGTTGAAGTTTGTTTGGACTTTGAGTGTGTGTTGAAGTCTGTTTGGACTTTGGGTGCATGTTTGTCTGTTTGGACTTTGGGTGTGTATTGAAATATGTTTGGGTGCATGTTGAAGTTTGGACTTTGGGTGTGTGTTAAAGTTTGGACTTTGGGTGTGTGTTGAAGTTTGGACTGTGGGTGCATGTTGAAGTTTGGACTTGGGTGCATGTTGAGGTTTGGACTTTAGTTGCGTGTTAAAGTTTGGACTTTGGGTGCGTGTTGAAGTTTGGACTTTGGGTGCATGTTGAAGTTTGGACTTTGGGTGCGTGTTGACGTTTGGACTGGGTGCTTGTTGAGGTTTGGTCTTTAGTTGCGTGTTAAAGTTTGGACTTTGGGTGTGTGTTGAAGTTTGGACTTTGGGTGTGTGTTGAAGTTTGGACTTTGGGTGCATGTTGAAGTTTGGACTTTGGGTGCGTGTTGAAGTTTGGACTTTGGGTGCAAGTTGAAGTTTGGACTTTGGGTGCGTGTTGAAGTTTGGACTTTGGGTGTGTGTTGAAGTTTGGACTTTGGGTGCGTGTTGAAGTTTGGACTTTGGGTGTGTGTTGAAGTTTGGACTTTGGGTGCTGTTGAAGTTTGGACTTTGGTTGCATGTTAAAGTTTGGACTTTGGGTGTGTGTTGAAGCTTGGACTTTGGTTGCATGTTAAAGTTTGGACTTTGGGTGTGTGTTGAAGCTTGGACTTTGGGTGCGTGTTGAAGTTTGGACTTTGGGTGTGTTGAAGTTTGGACTTTGGGTGCACATTGAAGTTTGGACTTTGGGTGCACGTTGAAGTTTGTTTGGACTTTGGGTGCGTGTTGAAGTCTGTTTGGACTTTGGGTGCGTATTGAAGTCTGTTTGGACTTTGGGTGCGTGTTGAAGTCTGTTTTTACTTTGGGTGCGTGTTGAAGTCTGTTTGGACTTTGGGTGCGTGTTGGTGTTGGAGTTTGTACTCGGTGCAATAATTTATGCATATTTTCAGTTCTCGAATGTCAGCTGCTTTTGGGTCAGTGGCAGAACGTCAGCTATCATAATGGGTAAGTTGTGGATATTTTTTAACAACTGAAGTTCATGGTAAAAATTAATTAAGATTGTCATCTACTTTGCCATAAATTGTTATATGTAGGAGTCTCAATTTTGCAATGGCCTTGGTGTATACTAGTCACTCAGGATTTATTAATCTATTAACTGTGTTTTATAGTTTGGCCTGGTTCCTGCCTGCAGTTCTGTGTTGTAGGAAAGAAACAAAAAACTTTATGGTAGTGGTGTAATCATTATAATACACATGATAACATGACCATCAAGTAGGTAACAAAGTATCTTAGCCTGCCAACACTAGTGATAGTCACTATTAGCTCATGATACCGGATTGATTCATTTGTAATAATAATAAAAGTCTTTATTTCTAAAAGTCCATAATATATGGGATCGAACTGTGGACCTCAATGTATAAACTGATTGTGTTACTAATCGAGCTATAGGACAATGTAGAAACTTTGATGAAAAAATATTTGTAATATGATCAGAATCTTCTCTGCAGTGTTCATAATTATTTTGGTAATTATCTGATAATATGCACACGATTACACACACACACCAATCCAATTAGAGAACTACCAGTTCATTCAGCAAATAATATATATAACTTATTTAATAACAAGTGCTTTATTGTACTGGCTTTATCTTCATATTTTTTTTTAATATCAACAGATAACCAAGATGATCCATTTGACTATAACACCATTGAGATCCCGACTGTGGTGGGTCTCCTGAGAAATATTCTTACCCAGTATCCTGACAATGGTCAAATAATCAAGGTAGGTTTCATATTAATTATTATATTACCTGCTTAAACATCTTCACTAAAGAGTAAAGGTAACTTTTAAGGGTCTACAGTACAGTGGTACCTCAATATTCGAGCTTAATCCATTCCAGGAGGCTGTTCAAATAGTGAGTTGTATGAATATTGAATAAATTTTTCCTATAAGAAATAATGTATACTGGATTAATCAGCTCCTGACCCAAAAAAATTACCAATTATGAAATGTTTTTTAATTGAAAATATTGCTTATTTAAATCTGTATAATAATGTTTGCATGCATAAAATAATTTATGAAAACTATACCTGGAGTATACCTGGAGATGGTTTTGGGGGTCAATGTCCCTGCGACCCGGTCTGTGACCAGGCCTCATGGTGGATCAGGACCTGATCAACAAGGCTGTTACTGTTGGCTGCACGCATCCTGGCTTCTGAACCACAGCCCAGCTCGTCAGGTGCCTGTGCAGCGCCTTCTTGAAGACAGCCATGGGTCTATTGGTAATCCCCCTTATGTATGCTGAGAGGCAGTTGAACAGTCTTGGGCCCCCTAACACTTATTGTGGTCTCTTATCGTGCTAATGGTGCCCCTGCTTTTCATTGGGGGGATGTTGCATCGTCTGGTGAGTCTTTTGCTTTCATAGGGAGGGATTTTTCCCTCTAGGATTTTCCAAGTGTATATAATCATGTATCTCCTGCCTATGTTCTAGGGAGTACAGGGTGAGGAACTTCAAGTGTTCCCAGTAATTGAGGTGTTTTATTGCAGTTATGTGTGCTGTGAAGGTTCTCTATATTTTCTAGGTCAGCAATTTCACCTGCCTTGAAAGGTGCTGTTAGTGTGCAGCAATATTCAAGCCTAGATAGAATAAGCGACCTGAAGAGTGTCATCATGGGCTTGGCATTCCTAGTTTTGAAGGTTCTCATTATCCATCCTGTCATTTTTCTAGCAGATGCGATTGATACAATGTTGTGGTCTTTGAAGGTGAGATCCTCTGACATCACTCCCAGGTCTTTGACATTAGTTTTTTGTTCTATGGTGTGGTTGGAATCTGTTATTTGTTTTATTGTGTGGTTGGAATTTGTTTTATACAGTGGAACCTCGGTTTTTGTTTGTCCTGGTTTTCATCAAGTTCGGGTTTTGACGACTTTTTTCGTCAAAATTTCTTTTATTTGTTGGAACCATGGCTAGGGCTAAAAGTGAGCAATTTATAACAATAAATGGAGGAAAAAAATTGGAATGACTTTTGCAGCAAGTAGTGCCTCCAAACAGTAGTGGCAGGTTGGTGTGGCGACCCCAGAAATTTAAAGTTATGCTAGCCGAAATTATTACCGGATTACTGATTGCCGGATTAGTGATGGCCAACCTGTACTTCAAATAATGAGTCTACTGCTACTAAGTTACATAAATACATGTTGGGACCTATAACCTCATAACACTGGCCATAACACAGGTACACAAAGAAAGAAAGAAGGGGAAGGGGGGGGTTGAGGGAGGTATGAGTGGATGGAAAGAGGTAAAGGCATTTGGGAGAAAGAAAGATGTAGATGGGAGAATAGCAAGATAGAAGGGAGGCAAAGAATGGGAAGGGGGGAAAAAAGGGAGACAAGTAATAATCTCACTTTTTGGAAGTTCTTTGTACTATATTTAAATTCATTTATGTGATGTCTCCTTTTCTACCATTAATCCATTTTTTGTGATTAGAATTTTACCATCAGTGCAGGTGGATGTTGTGTATGCAGAATCAATGTGTTGCATCTTGGTAATCATGATGACAGTACAGGCCCACTTTGTTTGCAGTATTATTTAGTATGCTTCTATAAAAAAATTGATTAATTTATAAATTGCAATTAAACTTTACAGGAATTGGTACAAAATGCTGAAGATGCTGGAGCCACAGTTGGGTTGACAGTTTTGCATGATACACGAAAAGTGCAGAGTTCCGAAGCTCATAATGATGTTCAAAGTCTTTCTCAAGGTAAGCACATTTTTGTTGCTTAGTTACCATTATTTGTATCTGTATCTAATGGTTCTCCCTCTTCTGTTTGTAACTGTTAAATCCATTTGTTCCATAGGTTTCCTCAACTTGTTAATCTCCAAAATGAACACTTACTGTAAAATATGTGTTGTCCTAATGTAGGGTGAAAGGTGAGTATTTATTGTAGAAAGTCAGCATGGTAGTTCCCATACCAGCTACCAGACCCACATGAAATTATACGACAAATTTAAAGCACCCCAGAGCAATTATTATTATTATTACTATAGGTAGGTTGGTAAACAGCAACCGCCCAGGGAGGTACTACCGTCCTGCCAAGTGAGTGTAAAACGAAAGCCTGTAATTGTTTTACATGATGGTAGGATTGCTGGTGTCCTTTTTTCTGTCTCATAAACATGCAAGGTTTCAGGTATGTCTTGCTACTTCTACTTACACTTAGGTCACACTACATATGTACATGTACAAGCATATATATACACACCCCCTGGGTTTTCTGCTATTTTCTTTTTAGTTCTTGTTTTTGTTTATTTCCTCTTATCTCCATGGGGAAGTGGAACAGAATTTTTCCTCCGTAAGCCATGCGTGTTGTAAGAGGCGACTAAAATGGCAGGGGCATGGGGCTAGTAACCCCTTCTCTTGTATAAATTATTAAATTTAAAAAGAGAAACTTTCGTTTTTCTTTTTTGGGCCACCCTGCCTTGGTGGGATATGGCCGGTTTGTTAAAAAAAAATTATTATTATTATTATTTCAACAAACCGCCGTATCCCACCGAGGCAGGGTGGCCCAAAAAGAAAAACAAAAGTTTCTCTTTTTTAAATTTAGTAATGTATACAGGAGAAGGGTTACTAGCCCCTTGCTCCCGACATTTTAGTCGCCTTTTACAACACGCATGGCTTATGGAGGAAGGATTCTGTTCCACTTCCCCATGGAGATAAGAGGAAATAAACAAGAACAAGAACTAGAAAGAAAATAGCAGAAAACCCAGAGGGGTATGTATATATATGCTTGTACATGTAATGTGTAGTGTGACCTAAGTGTAAGTAGAAGTAGCAAGATGTACCTGAAATCTTGCATGTTTATGAGACAGAAAGAGAGACACCAACAATCCTACCATCATGTAAAACAATTACAGGCTTTCGTTTTACACTCACTTGGCAGGACGGTAGTATCTCCCTGGGCGGCTGCTGTCTACCAACCTACTACCTAGGTATTATTATTTATTTTATTGTATTTTATTATCACACTGGCCGATTCCCACCAAGGCAGGGTGGCCCGAAAAAGAAAGACTTTCACCATCATTCACTCCATCACTGTCTTGCCAGAAGGGTGCTTTACACTACAGTTTTTAAACTGCAACATTAACACCCCTCCTTCAGAGTGCAGGCACTGTACTTCCCATCTCCAGGACTCAAGTCCGGCCTGCCGGTTTCCCTGAATCCCTTCATAAATGTTACTTTGCTCACACTCCAACAGCACGTCAAGTATTAAAAACCATTTGTCTCCATTCACTCCTATCAAACACGCTCATGCATGCCTGTTGGAAGTCCAAGCCCCTCGCACACAAAACCTCCTTTAACCCCCCTCCCTCCAACCTTTCCTAGGCCGAACCCTACCCCGCCTTCCTTCCACTTCAGACTGATACACTCTTGAAGTCATTCTGTTTCGCTCCATTCTCTCTACATGTCCGAACCACCTCAACAACCCTTCCTCAGCCCTCTGGACAACAGTTTTGGTAATCCCGCACCTCCTCCTAACTTCCAAACTACGAATTCTCTGCATTATATTCACACCACACATTCCCCTCAGACATGACATCTCCACTGCCTCCAGCCTTCTCCTCGCTGCAACATTCATCACCCACGCTTCACACCCATATAAGAGCGTTGGTAAAACTATACTCTCATACATTCCCCTCTTTGCCTCCAAGGACAAAGTTCTTTGTCTCCACAGACTCCCAAGTGCACCACTCACTCTTTTTCCCTCATCAATTCTATGATTCACCTCATCTTTCATAGACCCATCCGCTGACACGTCCACTCCCAAATATCTGAATACGTTCACCTCCTCCATACTCTCTCCCTCCAATCTGATATCCAATCTTTTCATCACCTAAATCTTTTGTTATCCTCATAACCTTACTCTTTCCTGTATTCACCTTTAATTTTCTTCTTTCACACCCTACCAAATTCATCCACCAATCTCTGCAACTTCTCTTCAGAATCTCCCAAGAGCACAGTGTCATCAGCAAAGAGCAGCTGTGACAACTCCCACTTTGTGTGTGATTCTTTATCTTTTAACTCCACGCTCTTGCCAAGACCCTCGCTTTTACTTCTCTTACAACCCCATCTATAAATATATTAAACAACCACGGTGACATCACACATCCTTGTCTAAGGCCTACTTTTACTGGGAAAAAATTTCCCCTCTTTCCTACATACTCTAACTTTAACCTCACTATCCTCGTAAAAACTCTTCACTGCTTTCAGTAACCTACCTCCTACACCATACACTTGCAACATCTGCCCCATTGCCCCCCAAAATCCACCCTGTCATACGCCTTTTCCAAATCCATAAATGCCACAAAGACCTCTTTAGCTTTATCTAAATACTGTTCACTAATATTTTCCACTGTAAACACCTGGTCCACACACCCCCAAACCTTTCCAAAAAGCCTCCTTGTTCATCTGCTATCCTATTACGTCTTGCTCTTAATTCTTTCAATTATAACTCTAACCATACACTTTACCAGGTATACTCAACAGACTTATCCCCCTATAATTTTTGCACTCTCTTTTATCCCCTTTGCCTTTATACAAAGGAACTATGCAAGCTCTCTCCCAATCCCTAGGAAACCCTTACCCTCTTCCATACTTTTATTAACAAAATTGCCCCCAAAACCACTCCAAAACTATATCCCCACCTGCTTTTAACATTTCTATCTTTATCCCATCAATCCCGGCTCCCTTTACCCCCTTTCATTTTACCTACTGCCTCACGAACTTCCCCCACACTCACAACGGCTCTTCCTCACTCCTACAAGATGTTATTCCTCCTTGCCTATACACAAAATCACAGTTTCCCCTATCTTAAATCAACATTTAAAAATTTCCCCTCAAAATATTCCCTCCATCTTCCCAATACAGTGAAACCTCTAACTCTCCATTTAATAACTCTCCCTCCCTTTTAAATTTTTATTATTATTAATTATTATTTTTATTTTTATTATTATTTTTATTATTACATTACCATCAACAAACCTTGTTTCACTGGGTCTAATCATTTCTAACAACTATACTTTGATGCCATTGTAAACGAGAGAGATGCAGAGAATGTAAACAAACACAAACCCATATTAATACCTGTCCGATTATGGTTCATTCACGTTTCTTTCCGCATACATTTATGAAGCTTTTACCATAATACAAACGCCTTATATGGGACTTAATTACATACTTAAAAATGTAAGATTATATCATAAATTGTTCTACCTCATATTAACAATAGAGTGAATATTGGCTACATATTTGTATTCTGGCACTCTTCATCTGTCTAGACTTGAGTAGTCTGTAAGTATTAGGTTAAATCTGCCTGAAATGCCTCAGCATGATAGTGGCTTTCTTTGCTCCAATTATATTATCCTATGTAAACACACATGGTAACCTTAGCAAAGAAATAAGTATTTTATTTATTTGTTTTTTTTAGTTGTGTACAAGCTGTCTTCACATTGCAGTAGAATAAAAAAAAGCAACACTCCCATTCTCATGCAATACACCATTTTTAAGGGAATTACACTCAAAGTGAAAGGGATACGAAAGGAATAATTTTCTACAGTTACCCCCATTAATACTATTGTGTACACATTTCCTCTTTGTGGACTAGAGAAAACATAATTCGTACCATTAACTCCAAAAAGCTGCCCGGCCACAACATCTCAATTTTTTGTGAAAATTTTTTCTACTGTGGGTGTAAGTACAACGTTTATATGTCATGTAATGTATTTCTTACATAATTTTTTAAAAAAATTTATAGATGGAATAATGAAAATGGTATATTAACGTAATATACATTTAAAGCACCCCATAGTGATTATTAATAATTATTATATTATATTTAAACCCCTTTTTGACTGTTTTGGTCGTATATACATGTATAAAGTCTTATTTAGCCACTGTTTTTGACGTATATATACTCATAAATTCTAGCGGCTTCAAATCAATCAGGGGAAAGCTGGTAGGCCCACATGTGAGAGAATGGGGCTGTTGTGGTCAGTGTGCATCATAAATAAAAAAAATCCTGGAGCACGTAGTGCATAATGAGAAAAAAAAACTGACCGTATTTTTTTTTTTTTTTTTTTTTTTTAATTAAAATGCCGACTTTGTGGTCTATTTTTGTATAGTATTTAGGGTTTTATTCTCATTTTCTTGGTCTCATTTGATAGAATGGAAAACATATTATAGAAATAGAGGCAATTTTTGATTGGTTTTACTATGAACAGAACCTTGAAATGGAGCTCAGAGTAGGGAAAATGTTTGATTTTTGCCAATGTTCAAAAGTAAACAAATGATGTCATTTTCCAATAAATGTCCAAGTAGCCATTCTAATATGCAGTCATGAATGGGTTGACATTATTTATACAATTATTACAATATTGCAGTATTTGCATAACAGTAAATCTTCTATTTTTTGTTTGAAAAAAAAACTCAAAGTAGAAAGCAAGAGTAATATCAGAGGGGCCTGGAGACATGACTGATGAACAAAGAAAATTTTTATTTTAGAGCCAAGAATGTCTGCATTGGGTTTATTCTGGACCCTATTTAGAAATTGTCATATTTTTTAAATTTTCGTGAAATTGGCCAAATTGCAAATATCTGACCCGCGTTATTAGGTAGTTAATCGGTAAAGGGGCAGTTCCTTGTATTCAGTTTGATAGAAAAAATGGATTTCTAAAAGAAATAGTTTGGTCGACTGA